TTGATTGAATAATAGGGTTTTTTTATTAAAAACGGCTTAGGTACTTGAAGGGTCTCAATTATTATTATTATTTATTATGCATTATTATTATTATTATTATTATTATAACAGAGGTTACAATTAGAGCAAAACTATGGACATAATGATAAATTAGAGCACATTACATGCATAATCACAAATAATAAGTCTATAATATTAACATTATTATTATTATTATTTCTTTGTTGCATAGTAAATAATAATGTCACCTATATATTCATGTGGCATACTCAAATCTTCAGGTTTGAGTTTTCATATTAATGCTTCGAGCATATGAAACCGAATATGAACTTCAAGTTCACTAGCCAAAAGAGAAAAAAAACTAAAGAAATGAAATTTTTTCGAAATAATATGTACTCAAACTTCAGGTTGAGTTTTATCATATAACCTTCAACTTTAACACATAATGTGTTAAGAATAAAGATAATAGAAATATTATCAAGAACAATATGATAGAGATATACCTTGATAAGAACACAAANTGTGGCATACTCAAATCTTCAGGTTTGAGTTTTCATATTAATGCTTCGAGCATATGAAACCGAATATGAACTTCAAGTTCACTAGCCAAAAGAGAAAAAAAACTAAAGAAATGAAATTTTTTCGAAATAATATGTACTCAAACTTCAGGTTGAGTTTTATCATATAACCTTCAACTTTAACACATAATGTGTTAAGAATAAAGATAATAGAAATATTATCAAGAACAATATGATAGAGATATACCTTGATAAGAACACAAATGGAAGATCAAAGTGCAATGGAGAGTGAAAGAGAAAGAATGCAATGAGAAACTAAAGATATGGATGTCTCATTTCAACATATGGAGCCTCTATATATAGGCTTACAAAGGGGAAAATCAAAAGTCTAACTTAGACATGGAGAACATCAAAAGACATTTGTACATAACAAATAATATTTTTTGATATTTTTTATCATCTAGATGTAAAGTATGTTTCAAAATACTCCTTTATAATTAAGTATTTTTCTAAAATGATAAAAACTAAGTAAATGTTATCCCGAAATGGAGTCCATGAGCCCACTTGGGGTAGGTCTGTTCCTCTAGCAGCCACCCGCTTAATTTGAAAGGAACATTTTCAATATGTATCCATAGTTTAGATGATAAAAATATCAGAATATCCTCCACCTAATTGTCATTTAATAGACGTTTTTGTAAGATGACAATTTAGGAAATCCATCTCAATTACAAAGGATCATGTTGGTAATAGTTACTTATTAAAATCTAAATTAGGAAAAAACTTTATTAGAAAAGATCGTTTTGAGAAATCACTCTTATTTATATGCCAATACCTTTTTTAGCACTGGCCATACCTATTAGTTAGACCAATTCTCGTATTGAGATGCGGAGTTAATACTAATATGTGGAGTTGTTGTCGTATAATGCGAATAATATTATCAGCCATTCCTTCTCCCGTGTGAATGGGAGCAGATTTGTTGCCCAAAACTTCGAAGTGTATTATTTATACTCAGTACCAACTATAAATATTCACTTTTATTTCATACATCTAATTAATTGCCTTTTAAACTATATGTAGTCAACATATATATATATATTTATATATTATATATCATGCAAACCACTAATAAAATTCAGCGAAAAAAGAAGAATGCTACTAAACTCAATGACTTGGGTGATGATGTTCTCTCTCATATTCTTTCTTTTTTAACATTCGAAGAGGCTATGCAAACAAGCATTTTAGGAAAGAGATGGCAATACTTATGGGTACCACACCCTTTTCTAAAACTCAAACAAAAAAGGGTTCAAAGCTCTTATGGTTTCTTGAAATTCGTTCAACGAATCATGACCCTTCGAGGATCATCCAAGCTCTCCAACTTTGACTTCGAAAGTCAAACGGATTCGTCAACTGTCATTGAATCTTTGATTTCTGCAGCAGCAAAATGTGGTGTTGAAGAGTGTAAACTTCATCTGGAAACAAAACTAAAAGATCCAATCTTTTTTCCATATATGTTGCATAATTTAGCAACTCTCACTCACTTGGAAATCAAAATGATCCACCAAGTTCGGCTTATAGCCCATCCTTCATTTTGTCTTCTCCCAAACCTCAAGACATTGAAGCTATGTTGTGTGACTTTTTTCGAACAAAGACCGACACAGAGTCTACTTTCTGGATGTCTTACTCTTGAGGAGTTACGTTTAGAACATTGTCTTTGGGAAGGCATCACCACCGTGACCATACCTTCTTCCAACCTTCACACATTGGTTATAGTGGAGCCTTTGTGTGACTTCTCCTGTGATCCCAAGATTGCTGGTGATTTTATCATTTGTGGAGATAATCTCCAAGAATTTGAATACCGAGGTCGATTGTTCTTCAACTACTGCTTTTTAAATATTCCGAAGTTAAAAGACTACAATATTAGTTTTTGCCTTCTTTGGGATGAATATCTAGAGCTTATAAAAAGTCGTTTTTACAAGCTTATGAGTCAAACAGCAAATAGTGGATCTAGCCCACATGGGGCCGTTGGTCCAATTCATATCAGAAAATGTCGCTATTGCGAGGAAAATTATATCATACATCCGGTTGTACCCAATTTTGATTACAACCAAGAAATTATTTATGTTATGAATTTTATTTTACATGAGAATGGACACTAAGTTATTTGAGAATGAGTATTGTTTTGTTTCAGAATGAACACTACATTATTTGTAGATGAATACTACCTCCGTCCCATTGTCTTTGTCCACATTTGACTTTTGGAACTGTTTATCTAAGCACTTTGACTCATCAAATTTTCTTAATGTGTAAGCCTAAAAATAGTCATGTGTGGTCTTGTTTGATTCGTCTTAACATATAGATTATTAATATATAATTTGTATAATTTTTTAATATACAAATTATAAGATAAAATGGATTAAAGAAGTGCATTGGATGGTGTGCCAAAAGGTATGTGGACAAACACAGTGGGACGGAGAGAGTATTATAATTATATTTAACCAATGTGTGAAAATGAGTACTGCATTATTTTAGAATGAGTACCACGCTAATTATATTTGTGCGAGAATGACTACTACTCTACTTCAGAATGAGTACTACTCCGGATGTACCTATCTCTAGCTACATCCAGTTGTACCATATACCTTCTCCTATTGCGAGTGAGTAAATGTCCAATTGAGTTAATTAAAAGTTAAAACATACTCCCTCCGTCCTAAAACTTTCTTCTCATAGCACTATTCCAACTTCACGGGAATTTATATTTATTTGTGTTTTTTCATGGCCTATATGATAAAATAAAATATTCTTGTCACCACTTGTTTTGTTGAACTTTTGATGTAGTTTTTAAATATGTATGTTTTATTTTTTATTTCTATACCAATATTTAAATAAAATAGATTGAAAAAACTTTGGATTTTTCTTCGTTTTGCGAACCGGGAAGAAAGATATAGGACGGAGGGAGTACTGTGATCTTTCAATCCCTAAATAAACTATATCTAGATGAGATAATTAAAAAAACTTAATTAATTACACGCTCACACACATCACATATTCACATTCACCTGGTCAAAATAAAAAGATTCTCTTCTACTATCTCTGTTCCTTATTTGTTCAATTTTAACTTTTTACAATTAATTATTTTCAATTTTTAACCTATATATAAACAAGATATATATCATAAATTAATCAAATAAATTATTTTTTAAAAAATATTTTATATAATAAATTAATTTTTATAAAATATTTTTATATACACCAAGGTTCCCATGACATTGGGTTTCAATGTCATGGGATGACCCGGGGGTGCTCCGGTGCCCCGTTCGTAAAATTGACGGTTCCTACCCCCCCGGTAAACACCCCACCTCGGCCCCGACCCGAACACGCCCCCCTACCCCCGTCAATTGCACCCCACAAGTTGATTTTGACTTTGGAGTCAAAATGCTGACAACTATTTCTTTTAGTTGTCTAACTGTGTTGGTTTCAGTAGTCTTCCGAGCAGCTGACTAATATATTTACAAACTACTGTTTAAAAACAATTGTGTCGTACGGTTGACGAAACCTATTTTGTGATCTTTTAGAGTACATGTTTTTGGAGTTGTACTCGTATAAGTAAGACATCTGTTCTCTGGAGTTAAAGACAATTGTGATTTTTTGTTGTATATCTAATGCTATATACTACTATTGTTTTCGACTTCAGACCCCTATTGTTTGGTGTTGTCGGTCAAAAATATAGATATCTAATTACAAAAGTAGTTGAAAGATATATCAACTGCTGCTCGGAAGACTACTAAACAAAAATAGTATCAGACAACTGTTGTCTTGTGTTATATTTCTAAAATACAGACTATTAATTTTGTGGTATGTTAAACAACCGTTTCTTTCAATTGTATAGTGCGCAATAACACTACGCTTTTTTTGCAGTTGTCCATGAAATATTCAAACTATATTTTTGAACAGTAGTGTAATTGATTATCAGACAGCTGCTCGGAAGACCACTATAAATATTTTCATCACACAACAGTTATTTTGTGTTGTATGTACAAATTGAGACTACTACTTTGGTCTTATTTTAAACAACTGTTTGTTTTTGTTGTATAACGATTATTAACACTATGATTTTGTTTAATAGTCCTTGAGATATTCAAACTATATGTTTGAATAGTAATCCAATTGGTTATCAGACAACTGCTTGAAAGACCACTAGAAATATTTGCATCAAACAACTATTGTTTTTTAAGGTATATCTAGGACATAAAAGACTATGTGTTTCAGATGTCTAATAGTGATTAACACTACAGGTTTGTGTAGTTGTCGACATATGATTCAATCTATCAAGTTGAACAGTGGTCGAATTGTTTATCCGAACGCAGTTATTTTATGTTGTCTCTCTAAATCATAAGCACCCATTTTTAATAATTAAAATTTGTTTCAAATAAAAAATACTAATCACGAAACAAAAAAATTATATATTCAAAATATTAATATCATCTAATAACTTAATATTTACTTAAATATTAGTGGAGCAACTTAATGTAGCATACATATTACCACGGTTTAAAAAAAAAAGGCAACACATTTTGGATAATGATACACCATCAAAATAAAATTTTTGCAGAGTGCTTATCATAGGTAGAGTATGTGGAGGAGTGAGTATCATAGGCAGAGTGACTTCTTGTACTTTACTTGGCCTCTCAAACTTGCAAGATTAAGACAATTCCCTGCTCACCAATACCAAAAGACCCCCATTTCAAGAAAACAAAAACAGGATAAACCAACACAAGTTAGGCAAATAAAGTAAATTTAAAACAAACACAACAGAATGAAAGAATGAATAAATTACAACACACACAAAGTAAACACTAAAAAAGGTAGCCTTCTCAATAGACCTAGCTTCTCAATAGAATACAAGTCACCAAGCAATCCAATTACCCTACAACTTTAAGTTTCCATTTCTCAACATTTGAGTTTCAAACTCAGAAAAAAGAATAAATTAAATGCACATCTAGTTTGTTTTGAATTCGATAAAACAGATTAAGTTGCATATATCCAAGTGGGTTATGATGCTTTTTGTGGGGAGTTGATGGATTAAACTCAAAAGTCATACAGAACTACAAAAACATCTTTCATAATCACGAAAGTACTAATTTTCACGACTGTATCATTTCTAATTTTATAAATTTTTAATATTATTTTGAATATTCGTCTAGTTTAATTTTTTTAATTAAATCGAACGAACTTTACTTATCAATTACTTTAAATTTACAAAAGATATTACTACAATAAAATAATTAAGTGTTCAAAAAAATGAAGTACCGAGTGTGAAATCAATGACAATTTCTCACATAAAAAAAACAAATTATTTTGTGGTCCTTCACCCATAGAATGATTTTATGCAATAGGCTTGTAAAAATAAGAAAATTTAACTACGAACACATAAAAAAATGTGAGAAAATCGACAAATACCGGGCCCGCCACATTTAATTAGTTTCTTTTTTTCTTTTCTTTTCTTTAAAAGATTAATGAATTTCATTGTTTGTTACTGATTATTGTGGCACATGGCTTAGAATTATATATTGGAAAACTTACAATGGAATTATAATGGAAAACTTACATTTACAAGCATAGAGATGAAAGGATTTGATGATGGCTCTTGGGAAGAATATACTCTGCAAAGAATTGGAAAAGCAGCCAACCTCTGAGCTGGTTTAAGAAACTTTGCCTGCAAACCAAAACTTGAGAATTTAGTAGGCAAAAAAATGGAAAAAATATGAATGGTTCTCAATTTTTCCCCTATCGTTAATTTAAGAAGCTGATCTAAAGGTTCCTTCAGAGAAATTCAGAGTACATAGAATTTCACAGAGATAACACCACTTCAATTTCAATCTTGTTCCAAATTTTGAAAAAAATAGAAAGAGAAACAAAAAACGAATCAAGACAATTTGCAGGGACATAGAAAAAAACCCTAGCTCTAAACCGGAAATCCATCCAAAACGCGCATATAACAGATGATTAAACATGTGCAGATGGATTGTCAGATATTATTAGGGTATGGACCTCGAGAATCAAGGCGAGAGAGACGCAGGCATTGAAGTGGCGAGCAGAATGGAGCTTTGATTTGAAATCGTCGACTATGGATTCCAACGGCTGGTGTGGATCGTCTCCGGCATTGAGCAGGGTCAAAAGTGTGCCGGATTCTTCATTCCCGAGCATGTTTGCTCTCAGGGAACTTCGAGTTTGACGGATATCGCTAAAGGACTCGATGCTTGTCAATTGGTCGCTGAATGAACAGTAACCACGAAACTTTGACTTTCAATACTCCAAGATCCAGCTATAAAACAGCAAAAGTGATTTCGGATTGGGATTCCCTTGCTTGAGATGCACCCAAATATCCACAAATTCCAAGAAAAGAGTCTCGGATTCAAAGATGGAAGCAAAAGGGGTGGAGCTGCACTAGCTTTCCAGCAACCCTAGAGAGAGAGAAGGGAAGGGGTGAAATTGGAGGCAAGAGAAGGAGGGTTACATAATTTTGGCCAAATTTTCACTCAAAAAATCTATTCCCCCCAATTTTACATATATTATCCAAAGTGAAATTAGAGGCGGGAGAAGGAAGGATACAAATCTTTTGGCCAAATTTTCAAAAACAACTAGGTTCCTCAATTGTTGTTTAAATTCTTAGGTGTCTGTGAAGAAAACCAACAAATACGGGTGTTTTGAGGTTTTGTATGTTTGATAGTTGTTATGAACCAAGAAATTTCGTAGTGCGGAAACACCACCCTCCGTGATTAGTGGTTTAAAGGACTTGATTTGTGGCCTTTTAATCTGCCCGTGGATCCTTGTTCAATTCCCTACACACAGGAGAAAATTATTCCCCATGAAATAAGTAAAAAAAAACAGTAGAGTAAGTACTTGTAAAAATTACTAAAATACTTACCTCCTTGTCATGGTATATCACCTCCATTGTATTATCTTTTTCATCACGGCCTGGTACGGTGTATATATACTCTATTGCTCTCATTCTAAGTGCCCATTCATTCTTGGTGTGGTCAACATCTCTTAGGAGAGACCACTGGCCAACCTTAGCCCTAACTTCACTTGACATAGTTTGCTTTTTTTGACTGCATTCCTTTGATGGCTTCTGCAGTTTTTGCCCGTAAGGTGAAGACAACTCCTCCCCGTCTTTTATAGTGGCCGGCCAGGAGTAGCAGTTGTGGCGTGCAGGTTTTTTGATAGTGGGAAGTGGCCATGACAGATAGTGGAGGGGTGCAGCAGTTTTCTAATATTATATATTTAATATTTTGTTTTTAGAAATACAGTGTTATTAAGTAAAATAATTATAATTACTGAACTGTATTATTATGAAAAGAAATACAGTGTTATTAAGTATTTTATTTATAGTTACTGAACTGTATTTATCATTAAGAAAACTTAATATATTTCTCTCTATATGCTTTTTTATGAAAAATCAGAGTGCTTTTACACTTTGTCATTGTCTTAAATAAATTAGATTGAATATTATTTTTATGATTACTGATATTAAACTAAAGTTTTTTACATTCGAAGTTGAATTTGTTAATTATGTTAATAATTTTTCGTGCTCAAAGTAATATCTGTAGTAAAATTTGTACGTTTTTCTAGCCAATTATGTATAAAAATTATTAATGAGCCTTTTAATGAATGTAACTGATTAAATATTTTTTAGGCCCAACGTCCGAAATTGGCCCACTAAGTTTAGGCGGGATTTGATTCCTGCTGCTGTTGTAAATAGGGGATAAAAATATTAAGAAGAAAAAAGAATGAAAAAAAATGGGTGCGTGGGGGTGGGGGGCTAGAAGAAGAGAAAAAATGGTGCGGGTGGGGTGGGGGTGGGAGTGGGGCTGGAAGAGGAAGAGAAGAAAATGAATGGAGGGGAGGGTGGGGGTCTTGCAGAAGATGAAGAAAATGGTGGAGAACCAAGAGAAAAGGGATCAAAATCATAAAATTTAAATTTATAAAATTATAATTTTATCCCAAATGACTTGAAGGTGACTTAGATACCGCCTATTGGACCACCGGTTAAAAAATGTTGAAAGTTTGTGTACTTTTGTGATAGAAATTAAAGTTTATATACCAAAGTGAAATAATGATGAAAGTTTATATACCATGGGTGAAGTTTACCCTACTTTTTTACTAATATTCTACCCATCAAATCCTACTTTTACCCATCACATCAAAGGACTTTTTTGGAAATTCAATACCAAAATATATACGCTTCCCTTAAATCTCTTAAAATCAATAACTCCCATGTTTTTAGGACCTGAGGGAGTAATATGATTTTGAAGTAAATAACGATTATATAGATTTCATTATAATATGGTTGGAAATAAAAAAAATTATTAAATCACAACCCAAAAATGTACTAAGAAAAATTTCAAAATTTTAAATACTTCTTTATAATAGACCATTACGGTTTTTTAAGCTATATTTTCGTCTTTCTTAAAGGATGAAACTCCATCCCCGATGACCCCTCAATGCCGGCCAGACAGTTACTAGAGATCAGAGGAATTTAATTGAGTTATGATCGGCATAGGAGTGAGGTTTCAAGTAGGGTTGCCCTTTATCACAGTCACCATGTTTCAAACTTGAGATCTCTTTGTTTTAACATCCTTTTGCCAACCGATGAGTTACGTCTCGCATGCATGTTTCATCTTTCTTAAATTTCATGCTTTGAATAGATTGCCCAAATTTTCATTTGAGTACTTAATAATTAGAATAAGTAATGCCATGTTTATGGCTTATGTAAGCCTTGGCAGGTTCATTTGAGTACTTAAATTTCATGCTTATGGCTTATTCAACACCCATCTGGTTTTGGCGCTTTGGACCTCTTCTAGGCCAAGCCATGGATTTTGGGCTTTGCAGCTTTAGTGGTTCAACTTTTGGGGTTTTATGAAGCTTTCACAAAATATATGTTAGTGTATATAGTCCTTTGGTTGTTTGTTTTTACTATGTTTTCTTGGTTGATTTTGTTATGGTTTTGTGGAGTCATTCATGTGTTATTGGTCGTGTTAACCGGATCTAGCCAGAACCTATCCATCCTGTGATAACACTTAGAGGCGTGGCCTCCCGTGGACCGTCCGAACTAACATTGAAGCCAGCCAGCATCTTTTCAACTATATTCTTCGGAAACAGATGATCATCCAATTCTTTGATTTGAAGTTATTGGATATGTTGTTAAATTCTAGGGGAGCATTTGGCTGTCAAATTTAGGTCTTTTTAAGCTTGTAATATGTAGCTTTCGATCTCAAATTTAGACCTTTTTAAGCTTGTAATATTAGGCTTTGTATCTTTCTTTTCGTATTTTAATCAATTTTTTTGTTTTAAAAAAAGTAAAATGAAGACGAATTTGTACCAAATTTAAGTTGTCCCACTTATAAGCTATCACTAGTATTAGGTTTGCCATACAATAACAACAACAACAACCCAGTTGAATCCCACAACACTAGGGTCTGGGGAGGGTGTGTGTACGCAGACCTTGCCCCTACTCGGAAGTAGGGAGGCTATTTCCAAGAGACCCTCGGCTCCACCTGCACAAAAATATGGAAGAGAACATAGTATAGCACAGATAAGACACCAAGTACAAGCAACAAATACAAACAATAGCAGAAGATTCCAAACAAATACAACACACTACAAAACAACCTCTACAACACCGAGCTCCTATCCAGCTACTCTAATCCTAGTTCTCCAAAGGTTCTTATCTAGGGCCATATCCTCAGTCAGGTCGAGAAGTCCTAAATCTTGCCTAATCACCTCCTCCCAATTCTTATTAGGTTTACCCCTTCCCCTACTTCCCCTGATAACCGTAATCCTCTCGCATCTCCGTACAGGGGCGCGTCAGCATCCCGCCGTCTCGCATGGCCAAGCCATCTCAACCTCGCTTCCCGCAACTTGTCTTCCACCGGTGCCATACCTACCTGACGTCGGATCACTTCGTTCGAAATCCTATCCAACCTTGTCTTCTCACACATCCATCGTAACATCCGCATCTCCGCCGCATGCAGACGACGCACGTGAGTCTTCTTAACTGCCCAACACTCTGCCCCATATAACATAGCAGGTCTGACTACGGATCGATAGAACTTACCTTTCATTCTAGGCGAAATCTTCGGATCACACAACACCCCTGAAGCTAACCGCCATTTGGCCCAAGCCACACCAACCCGATGTCCAACATCCGCATCTAACTCCCCATCCGCCTGAATTACCCAGCCAAGATATCGAAACCTGTCTACCTTATGTACTAGGTGAGAGTCAATCCTGACTTCCACCTCTGATTCTGTATCCCGTCTGCTGAAACGACATTCCATGTATTTAGTCTTGTTCCTACTTATTCTGAATCCTTTAGTCTCAAGGGCAAGGCGCCATAATTCCAACTTATCGTTTAGTCCCTCACGCGTGTCGTCGATAAGCACAATATCATCCGCGAAAAGCATGCACCATGGGACCCCGTCTTGAACACCTTGAGTTAGGACGTCCATCACCAAGGCGAACAAAAAAGGGCTAAGGGCAGAACCCTGGTGTAACCCCATCCCTACCGAGAAGGAATCTGAGACGCCCCCGGAAGTCCTTACCTTGGTCATAGCCCCATCGTACATATCCTTGATCGCGCGAGTGTACACGATGGGAACTCCTCTCGCCTCAAGGCACCTCCATAAGACCTCCCTTGGCACCCTATCAAACGCCTTCTCAAGGTCAATAAACACCATATGAAGGTCCTTTTTCCTAGCCCTATACTCTTCCATTAATCTGTCAGGCATGAAACCAAACTGGTTCTCCGAGATGCAAACCCCTTTCCGCACCCTATACTCAATAACTCGCTCCCAAACCTTCATGGTGTGGCTAAGCAGTTTGATGCCTCTGTAATTCTCGCAACTCTGAATGTCACCTTTGCCTTTAAATAGAGGGACCAAGAGACTCTCCCCCCACTCATTTGTAGGAATTAAAATTTGCTACTAGGGTAAAAAACTACTCATAGTGTTCCAAATTAAAGTGACATGGTACAGAGTAAAAAATTGAGTTTGCAAAATAGTTTTAGAAAGTAATACGGATCGGAGGAGTATCTCATCCAACCTGAGTGTTTCGTTTTTGAATTTGTACAAGACAGGTATTCAAAAATGAGGCCGGTTCTAGAGCCACTGGATTCCGGTGGCTCTAGAACCGGCCTCTTCAAAAATTGAGAATCGGAAATACCGAAACGAACTGTCACTATTAAAATCCAGAGTAATAAATTAGTTAATTAGTTACATCCTTTCTTCACCATTCTTATTTCCAATATTTTTAAGCTCTTCTTTCTTGGTTTTGAATTTAACTTATTTAAACTTAGAGTGTTTGATTGGGAAAAATATTTTTTTGTAAAATATTCATTCTAATTATTTATGCTTGGTAACATAAATGATAGGAAAATACGGTGGTCTATCTTGGTCATTTGATACAACTATCATACACCTGAATTTACCACTTGTATTTATAACTCGAAATAATGCTCAAATGCACCATTTATGTAGGGAGTAATATTTTGCACGCCAAATAGCTCCAGTGCTCCCTGTGGTTTGGAAAATTGGCACCAATACCCGCTCTGATCATTTTCTGGCCATTTTCCTGGTGAAGAGGGGGCATTGACGCATAATTTCTAAACCATAGGGGGGCATTTGTGGTAATTTCTTATTTTCGTTTATTATTTGTGTTTTACCTTTTTTTAAATATTTTCTATCTCTTTTTCCTTTTCCTAGAATTTTTTTAAATATATTTTCAATTTCTTATAATGTTTTAAAGATTTTAAAATTCTTTGTGTTTGAAATAAAAATAAAAATAAAAAAATTAGCATGCATTACATCTATCTCAAATTAAACATTTTCACTTTTTGTTACTTAGAATAATTTTTTGGAAAGTTCAAAAAAACCCTGAATAAAAAAATAAAAATATGGAAAAACGAAATGAAAACATTATAATACGCAAAAAAGTCTTATAAAAAAAATTTGAACATGCCTAAAAAAGTCCTTAGAATTGAGATGTCCAAAAAGGATATTCATTTTTATTTTTGTATTATTTTTTTCTTATTTTATTTTTCATTTTTTTGAAGTTCTCAAAAAAAATTACTTTTTTTTCAGAATAAACAAAAAATTATTATTTTGAGACGTACATACGCATTATATGTTAATTTTAAGAACATTACAAAAATAATTTAAAAAAACCATTATTAATAAATGAAACAAAAAATGGAAAAAAATGGAAAAAAACAAATAATAAGCGAGACATAAAAATTAGCACTGATACCCCCTATGGTTTAAAAATATGCACCAATGCCCCCTTCTTCACCGGAAAAATGGCTGGAAAATGATCAAAGGGGCAGTGATACAGAGTATTATCTTTTATTTTTGCACAATGCAAATCAATTCTGTATTTTCAATATGCCCTGACAAAAAATGTATTGTATTACTTAATATTATCATGATCTGCACACTTTGTTGGTCAAAATTTGATTAATTTTGCGGAAAGTAACACTAGACCTGTCAAAAAATGATCCGACCTATTTTTGACCCGAAACCCGAACCAAAAATGTTGAGTTTTGAACAAAGATTTTGTTAATCGAACCCAAAGTCGACTGAACCCGAAATGACCCGCTAAAAGTGGGTCAAACCTGACCGAATTCGAAACCGACCTGACCGGCCCGCTAATGTAAGAATTTTTCAAAATTATATACTTTACTATGAAATATAATGTTATTAAAATAAGGTTATAATTATATATTTTTTTCATACTACTCATTTTTAGTGTATAAATTTTTATTTTTAGATAAAGTTTATTTTAATGATATTTCATAATTATCTTATTTTTTTCTAAAAATTATGCATTTTGTAAGTTTTTATTTTGATTTATGTACCAAAACATGACTTCATAATTTAAAATAAAATATTATAATTGATTTAATACATAGTGTTTGTGTAACACCCGCCTCCCGCAGACCCGGTTCACCCGCGACCCAACGGACCGGTAGCGTTACATGGACAGTCCGAGAGCCGCCCGTTACATAAAACATTAATGATTATTTAATAAGAAAACGGTTGGATTTATTTAGTGAGATAAATGCCAGGGAGTTACTCCCAAGACGTATATAATAAAAGTGCAGAGTAAATGCGGAAGTAACTAAGTAAGTCCAGTCCAAATTAAATAACGACAGGGGTGGGTTCATGCCCAAATGATTAATTAAGTTAATGAAAATAAATAAGAGCTCATCCGTGCGCTGCCCATCTCCCCATCGTCACTGCTCTCCAGGGTTGGCACCAGCTCCGCCATGTCTACCTGCGTGTAGCAAAAACAACTACACGCTCAGCGTAAGCTGAGGAGTGAATCTAACAAAAGAACATTTAATGATAACCCATGTGGCTATACACATATATATTAATACCTGTACTTAACGTACGGGAAACCACATGTTACTAAGTGATAGGAGCATACATGATGATGAAATGACTTGATGCATGACTTAAACTATCAGGGACACCCCTGGCTTAGTCTCACTCGACATGATCACCCCTGCACTCCGGTCATCGTCCCCATACGGTAACGAGCCGGGCACGACGAAGATGTCGCGAGTGGAAAACCCGTTGGATCCCAAAGATTCCTAGACGGGCCCACTGTAGTAGGCACACGAAAGCTTGACCTCCCTACAGCGGTATGCACATGATGACGAACCTAGGACATCCGTCTAGGATGAACATGATGAAATGATTGCATTGATTGAAGAAGGAAGTTAAATTCAACGCATACATATGTGTTTGATTACAATTTTTTCAACATGATGGCCTTAGGTTCAGAACTGGCTGATAATCGATTGTCTACTACTGATAATCGATTATCATGCTGTGCAGCTTCTATCCCCAAAGTCCTGCAGACTGTGATAGTCGATTTTCACCCTATGACAATCGATTGTCAAGTTGGTTTGTTCAGAAAGTCCTAAGTTCAGAGAGCCCTGATAATCGATTGTTGCCTATGTGATAATCGATTATCAGTGAAGCTAACTCAGACCCAAGAATCCGCAGGGCCTGATAGTCGATTATCACATATGTGATAATCGATTATCACGCTATGCTGAATCAACTGAGGAGTCCAGCGTGGCCTGATAGTCGATTGTACTATTCTGTAACTCGATTATCCAGGCACGCTGACTTCCATTATATCTATTTGTTTGTCATCAAAACGTTGGAAGTTTTAGAAATGAATGTTTATATTTCCATGCTAGATAATCAATGAACTTACAAGGTTTCAAAACATTTATATTAACGAGCACATAACTTGATAACATGGACACACGTATGTCGGATGGTTAACCTACGAACATGCTTAGATTCTACGTAGGTTGCGTACGATATTCCTATGAATATAACGACATAGATTATAACTAAATGTTCTAGAATTAGAGGGACAACTACTCACCTCTAAATGAAAGGGGTTGAAGGTCCAATAGAACGAGACGAACGAACGGCTATCCACAAACCAACGAACAAACGAACGGCCTGCCTCACACGTGCACTATCTACCTTCTCCACCTCCTCCGCGTCTACTGCCGGAATTCCCTTTGGTGAGTTGCTGTGTGGCCGAAACAAGGGAAGGGGAAGAGAGAGTGGGTTGAGAGTGTAAGGAATGGGGGTTACAAAATAGGGTGGAGAAAGGGAATGGGTTGGGATTTAAATTGGAAGTAATAATGAGGAGAATAAAGTGAAACTTAATGGAGCATGAATGTGTGAGTGGCGTGTGAGTTGGATGAAGGTTACAAACATATTTTTACTCCATTATGTAAAAATCTGACCTGAACGGTACACGCTTTTCCCCCCAAACGGGTCCAAATTGAGATCTGTTAGCGTTTCTGGAATCAGACAGTCAAAACGAATTTAATGATATGATCAAATAATTTTTCTAAGAACTTTTTATTTTCCCCAACTCCGGTCCGGAACAGTAATTAATTAATTAAATTAATCAATTCTATTAGACCGGGTTGCAGGGCGTTATAGTTTGATATTTTAATTTCATTTAATGCAAAATGTAAGAGTTAATATGACTTTAAAATTTCTAAAAACGAAAATCATAACCCGTTGGGTCGACCCGAACTTGATGATAGTGGGTCATGAACATACAGTTCTCAACCTAAACCTGAAATAACCCGAATCCGAAATTTCGAAGTGACCGAACCTGAATCTGACCTGACCGACCGATTAGCCAGCTCTAAGTACAATGCAACCAAAATGGCAAGAAAAGATAGAGAAAGGAGTGGCTAAAAATAATTATTATTCAAACAATTCAATTGGAGAGCTAATTTATTAGGAACTGAAAGAAGTAGGGGGTATATTTTTGGTTCGCTCAAGTGGTTTAGACTCACTCACAATAACCACATTGCCTGATTTGCATTTGATCATAGCACACTCTTGGTCTAGAGCCACTTTCTAGTGTTTGACTCAGAAGCTTTTGGAAACGCCTTTCAATGAGCTTTTTATATTTATCCCAAAGGCAACAATAATCAATGTTGCATTCTTTCAATGACGTATTATTTAAAATACGATAGTCAAAGAATAATCGACCTCGGTAACTAAACTGTTGGAGACTATCTCCATAAATGACAAACACATTGGCAATCTTGGGATTACAAGAGAAGTCGCACAAAGGCTCCTCTATGACCAATGTGTGAAGATTGGAAGAAGGTATGGTCACCGTGGTGACGCCTTCCCATAGGCAATGTTCTAAATGCAACTCCTCAAGCGCAAGGCACCCAGAAAATAGACTCTCTGTCGGTCGTTGTTCGAACAAGGTCACACGACGTAGCTTCAATATCTTGAGGTTTGGAAGATGGCAGATCGAAGGATGAGCTACAAGTCGAACTTGGTGGGTCATTTTGATCTCTAAACAAGTGAGAGTTCCGGAACTATGCAACATGCATGGGAAAAAGATTGATTCTTTCAGTTTTTCTTCGAGGTGAAGCTCATACTCTTCAACATCACATTTCGTTGCTGCAGAAACCAAAGATTCAACGACAGATGATGAATTTGTTTGACTTTTGAGTTCGAACTTGGTGGGCTTAGATGATCCTCGAAGGCGTCTTGTTTCCTGAACGAATTTCATGAAACCGTAGGTGCTTTGAAACCCCTTTTGTGTGAGATTTAGAATACGGTGTGGTACCCATTCGTATTGCCATCTCTTGCATAAAATGCTTGTTTGAATAGCCTCTTCCAATGTTAAAAATGAAAGAATATGAGAAAGAAGATCATCACCCAAGTCATTGAGCTCAGTAACCTTCTTTTCTTTTCTTTGTATTTTATTATGGCCCTGCATGATAACTACAATGCATGTAATAGTGATGATGGATAATCTTTAAGAAAATGAATTAGACATATTGAAATGAAAGTGATTAATTACGCGTGTGTATATATATACACACACACATGAAGTAAACTTCTTGAAGTGTTCGTTAATGCATGGCAACAGATTTTCTCCTATTCACATGGGAGAAGGTGTGGTTAAAAAAATATTCGGGTAATATTGGTCTTATATGTTTAACTAAACCACAAATTAGTATTACCTCCACACCAGACTAGTCCTCCAAATCGGTCAAACAAAAAGCATTGGCAAAAAAAGGTCATGCTCGAATTAACACGTCATTATGTTTTAGTCCTATTTAGTGCAAATTTCACTTGTCGAAAAAAATGTGATCAAATTTTATTTCATTCGAATAAATTCATTTTATTTTTTATTTCACTTTGATTTCAGAGAGATTAAAAAATATTACATCCCAAAAAACATTAATTATGATATGTTTAAAAGAAAAAAAGTATTGTACTAAATTCTGATATGTTTAAAAGAAAAAAAGTATTGTACTAAATATTACATCCAAAAAAACATTAATTAAAAAATATTTTAATTTTGATTAAAATAAATTATTATTGGGCTTTGAGCCGAACGCTACAAGAAATATGACTTTTTGTGGCTAAATTTTAGTAGCAAAATAAATATTTGCCACAATATATAAATAATCCACTATTATTTGTGGCTATTAAGAATTTGCCACAAAATATTTAACTTGTTGTGGCAATTGGTTAATACTACCTTTGTCCCAGAGTATTTGTCCACTTTCATTTTTACACACCATCCAATACACTTCTTTAATCCATTTTATCTTGTAATTTGTATGTTAAAAAATTATACTCCGTAGAAATTATATATTAATAATCTATATGTTAAGACAAATCAAACAAGATCACACATGACTATATTTAGGCTTACACATTAAGAGAATTTGATGAGTCAAAGTGCTTAGATGAACAGTTCTAAAAGTAAAAATTGGACGAATACTACGGGACGGAGGAAGTATTGCTACTATCTACAATATCTATAGCTATATCTAATTACTTAGACCCAAACCAAGCCCAATTTAAGACCCATTAACCAAAATAATACGGAGTACACAATACCACGGAGTAAAGAATACAGATGACACTCGGTCTTTCTTCTTCTTCGATCAGGACAACGAAGACAATTCCAAGAAAGGCGAGCACCAGCGGCCGGCTTTGGTTTCTAGCACTGATGCAGCGAGCTGGAAGAAGTACAACGACTTCCTGTGTTGATTGAACGGAAATTTCAACACCAAATCTAACAAATTCCAGTGCCCAACGGTTGTTTCTTGGTATAAGCTTCAAATCTGTGTTTTTCTTCCATTCCTTTCTAGTTTAGGTTAGATTGTATTTATATTGTCTATTTCAGTATTTATTTAAATCTCATAGAGATAAATTCAATATGCTGACTATTTGTGTAGTTTTGATTGGAACCAGAGTACATATCCAAATTTAGAATAAATGAAGAATTTATTTATGATGAGAACTTTGAAGTGATTTATTGAAATAAATCATGAGGATAAGTAATACTCTCTCCGTTTGGAAAAACTCTTCTCATTTGATTTGGGGGCAAAAATAAGGAAGTGTTAAATTGTAGTTGATTTCCAATTTTGCCCCTGATGTGATGGGTAAAAGTAAGATGTGATGGATAGATTATTAGAGAAAAAGTATGATGTGATAGGTAGAGTATGAAAAAGTAAGGGTAAAAGTAGTTTTTTAATAGAAAGGAGAAGTGTTTTGTTTGAAGTGGAAAAAATGAAAGAGAAAGTGTTTTTGAGAACGGAGAGAGTATGAATTAAATGAAAGAACCTTTTTGAATAAAGGTTAACTAAATTAATTTTGACTCTCTCAAAGTCAAACACCCAAAAATATGATGTCCGAAAAAGTATTCCAAATAAATATAAAAATATATCGTTAAATAGAGTTTGACTGTCCGATCGCAATGGAGTAAGCGGATTTCAATTCGGATAAAGTTGGACCGAAAAGTGTACACCGATTGAGACCAAATTAGTCTCAATCAAAGAAAGACATGTATAATCGGAACTCAATCGTAGCCTAGCGCACTAAGGAAATTCGTCGATCAAAATCATGTAGAAATCCATTGGCTTCTTCCTCCTCTCCTTCACTATATAAGGAATACCATTCTCTCACATTCTTTCACCATTTCCCTTCAACATTTATTCTGAGAGTTAGCCTTGAGAGTGTGGAGAATGCAGTACTGGTGTTGTCAATTTGGGGTGAAGTCACTTAGTCACTGGAGTTGGGAGCAAACCACACCGGAAGTTTAACCATTCAATCGCTGGAGTCATCGTTAAGCTTCAAGGTAAGCGTGTAGATATATTTAGTGACTAGAATGTTCGTATAAATTGTTTCTACGTTCATAAATGGTCGTTTAATTGAGTTTTGTGTTTGACATGTTTGAACAACCAAGAATCATAAACCTTGAAGTTATTGTTAAAACGTTGAGTTAATGATGCCAAAATGATCCATGAACCTTGGAGAACATTTTTATATAATTTAATTAAAGTTTGGTGAATTAAAATGAAGTTGGAGAAAAGTGGCCAAAGGTAGGAGACGATGAACACTTATTTTTTGCGTCTTAAAAAATTCCTTCGTGTGATGGATCACACGAGGTGGATCGATCACATGGGGTGGTTCGATCACATGGGGTGGATTGATCACATGTGGTGAATCAGTCACATGTGGTGGATCAATCACATGTGGTGTGGATCGATCACCCAAGCTGACTATTACATTTTAACGTCTGAAAATACTATTTTTTGAAGCTATAAAATCCTACTTTTGATAATACTCAATCATGATCAATATAAAGATGATTTCTAAAAATAAAAAATGATGCTTTTGAAAAATAAAATCTTATGTGATGTATGACGATAAACTAGTCTGCTATTTGTTATTGAATATTATGATGATTATTATTGATTGATGATTGTGATGAATATTACTCCCTCCGTCCTAAAACTTTTCTTCTCAGTTTGACTTTTCCTCATTTTTAATTTTTGGATTTGACTTCATATTTTACCCTCCTTAAAAAAGATTTTTTGTAAATTTGTTTTTGCAATCATTCAACATATAGAGTTAGAAGATAATTGGTGTAAATACATGAGGGTATTAATGTCATTTATCATCTTTTTTTCTAATTGGAAGGTAGTTTTAGGACGGAGAAAAAGGGGAAGTGGGAAGAAAGTTTTAGGACGGAGGGAGTATTAATTTATGATTATGATGATTAAACATTAATAAATATTCTGATTAGAATGATAATTATGTATGATTGAACCATGATTTAAAAATGAATCTATTGACGATTATGAAAATGATGTGCATAGTTAAGGGTATCTAGAAGAACTCTAAGATATACCCACATTGATGTTGATTTCTAAGGCTATCTAGAATAACTCTAAATATGAATATTCCGTTGCCTAGGTAAAAACATGCGTAAGGGATCCGCAAACCAAACTTGAGATCACTCGCTTGGGGATACCACCCAACCCGACAGTGAGCATTCCGTTATTCGATTTCTTGTTTCACCTTAAGAGAAGGCTTGTTTAAGAGTTGGAAAACCTTTTTGAAAATTATACCTTAAACTAGACTAGCTTAAGAGTTGGTTAGGAGTACCTTAAACTAGAATATAGTTTAAGAGTTGGTTAGAAGTACCTTAAACTAGAATTAGTTTAAGAGTTGGTAAAATATTAAAGAGATTAGCCTTAGATATTAAAGAGATTAGCCTTAACTAGATATTGTTGAAAAATGTCAAATATGTACATGAATGTTCAATATTGAATATTGATTATTGAATATTTGAACTGAACATTATGTGCATGATATCAAATGATTTGATTATGAATCGAGATTCAATTTATATACACTACAAGAAAACTGCCGATCTGCCACGGACAATTTCCGTTGCAGAATTTGAAATTCCGTGGCAGATTTAACTTCTGCGACGGATCTGCAACGAAAATGTTCCATCGCAGAAAAGTTGTGGCAGATTTAAAATCTGCGACGGAATTAAAAATCCATGGCAGATCTGCGACGGACCTGCAACGGGTTTGTTTTTTTTCAACCCCAAGAATCTGCGACGGAATTGAAAATCCGTGGCAGATTTGCGACAGACATAGCGACGAAAATAGCCGTTGCAGATCTGCAACAAAAACAGCGACATTTTTTGCCGTTGCAGATCACCTGATCACACACACAGATTTTTATTGTTTTTAGGCAGTAGCTATTAAAATGGCGGGCAAAACACATTCAATTTTTCACACACATAATTCTAAATAAGATTTCAATACGAAATAGATAATTCAAAACTAGATTAATACAAACTTCACGTGCAAGTGTAACATAATTCATAATATTATAAAAACACTAAATAGTAAAGTGTTAGTGTTAAATGTCAAAGGTGTCAACAATTCCTGGGCTGCCTTGCCCCTCCCTTTCCATCATCATCGCCTCGTAGAGGAAGGTTACCACCATATAACTTCCTTATCTCCTCCTGAATCGTCAGTTACAAACTCATTCTGTCTAGCCTTTAAGCCCATTCTGTCAAGCCTCCTCACGCAGTTCGAAGAATTGGGCCTGCAATATATGAAAGTTAATAACAGCGTAACAATAATAGCGTCAAGAACAGCAAGAACAACAACATGAACAACAACTGAACAACATCAACAACAAGACAACAACAGTGTCATATTGCAACAACAACACCATCAACGCAACAACAAAAGCCGTGTCATATGACAACAACAACACCATCAACGCAACAAGAAAAATAGTGTCATATGACAACAACACCATCAACGCAACAACAAAAATAGTGTCATACGACAACAACACCATCAACGTAACAACAATAATAACAAGACGATTAATAATAACATCAACAACAAGAATAACGTCAACAAAAACAATTCAATTACACAAGAAAGCAAGTACATTATCACCCTTTAGAAGTTTTAAGACAAAAACACCAACATTATGAGCATGAACCTAAATTGTTTTGCAAATTACAGAAAGTACCTGTAGCTCAGCATGTCCCGGATCCACCCAAGTCTTTCCGTCGTGCTTCTTTGTCTTTGTGTGGATGATAACCTCATCCAACGGCACATGCACCCCTTTCTTTTTACCCTTCAAGTTTCAATGAACATTTCCATTACATTTTAAATTTAGTGTCCACCGAATAACAAGTGCAAATCTATTATTTTATAAAATATATCTTACCAATCGATTCATATTTTCAGAAAATGGAATTAAACCTCCACAGAAGTTTATAAAATATATCTTACCAATCGATTCATATTTTGATCAACCACCAATTCTGTTTGCATCAGTACTCATGCACGGAGAAAGTTGGAAAACAAATGCTTAAATGCGCATGCCAAGAAAGAACAAAATAGACATCCAGACTGAAACTACACTATTTTTCTGTTGCCAGGTGAACTATAAATCAGATTTAAAAAAGAAACAAAAAAGCTAATGATCAAACTTAAGAAGCAGTCAAAGTAGGCAAACCTGTGCTGGATCAGAATCATTGTCCGAAAGTAGGCTCCAAACCATCTCCAAATCCAAATCTCTCTCACTCGGAATTTCCGAGGCCTCAGCTTCTCTGCCGCCGGGCTCCGGCAACTTCTCAGGAGACCAACGCTTAGCGCTCTCATCCGCCATCATCATCGCAATACAAATCGTTTAACTATATATATCACAAAATTCAACTAAATTTTACTTAAATTCTCAATAAACGTCAAATTAACTAACACAATTTCAACAAAAATTACAGCTTAAGTGCTATCAATTTCACAAAAAAACTAATGCAATTTTTACCCAATTTCATATCAATTTAAACTCATATTCACACAATTTCAACTAAATTTCATAAAAAATGCACTAAGTTTCACACAAACAAATTCAATTTCACAAAAATTACAATAATAATAAATTGTATAAAATTAAACTAAAATACCTTGAGAGGAAGAGGAGGTCAGGTGGGGAAAGATGGCGGTCGAGACACTGGCGGCGGCGAGGGGTGGAGACACTGGCGGCGGCGGCGAGGAGGGAGGGAGACACTGGCGGCGGCGGCGGCGAGGAGGGAGGGAGACACTGGCTGTCGAAGGCGAGGCGAGGAGGGAGACACTGGCTGCGCGGTCGACGGCGAGGCAAGGAGGACGAGCGCGCACGACGTCAACAAACAGTGCGACGGCGGCCGGTGGTCTAGGAAAGCCGCAGAGGAGATGTGTCGGTCGAAGTTGGGTGGACGGAAGATGGCTGGGTCTGGATGTCTGGATCTGTGAACTGATTTCGTCTACAGATCTAAAAGAGGATAACCTGATTTTAATTAATTATCTGCAACGGATATAAGTCCGTTGCAGATTCCGTTGCAGATTACACGAAATGTTTACCTCACTTTATTCCGTAGCAGATCTGCGACAAAAACAAAAGTTTCGTCGCAGATAGTGTTCCTTTTTCAGAAATAATTACTCCGTCGCAGATTCGTTGCAGATCTGCTACGGATATGTGTCCGTAGCAGATTTTCATTGCAGACTAGATAAATTCTTGTAGTGATAGATGTTCGACGGATTAGATATTCTTACTCAGCTTCAACGTTGAGTGTGTAGTTAGGCTTATTTGCTACATTCAGGTAAATAGAATTAATGATGTGACGTGATCCTAGAGGCAGACGGAGGCGAGATAGTCGGGAATCGGGATGGATGTGATGTTTTGAATTAAAGAACATAAAATAATTATATTTCGTGATTGTGATTTATTAAGCTTCCGCAACATTGAAAACTCTGTACTGTTATTATTATGAGTATACAATTCTTGTGACAAATAAAAGTGTATGGAAATGTTTTAAATTTTTACGATTACCAAGTTAATACTTTAGTCCGAAAGAGGATGCAGACCTGGACGAATTAGGGTGTTACACAAACATTTTAGTCACTAGATATATCTACAGGCTTACCTCGAGCTAAAATGAAGGTTTTGAGAATTTTCAGGTGAAACTTCCGTTGACGATAATTCCCAACTCCGGCGACCTCTCACCAAATTGACAGCACTACTACGTTCTCCTTACTCAGAGCAACAGAATAGAAGGAAGAATTGTGGAGAATTGTGAAGAATCGAAGGAGTTGGGTACTCTTTATATAAGAATGGTGAAGGGAAGAAGCCAAGTTTACATTGATTCCTTTCCCTGTGCAATCGGCTGATGAGTGGAGTGAGCTGCGCCATTCAAAGATTTACACGTCTTCTCCCAATGGGGACTAATTTGGTCCTAGTCGGGGTACACTTTTTAGTCCAATTTTCTCTGAATTAAAATTCCATTGTATCGTTGTTACTAGACAGTCAAGCTCCATACAACGATATAATTTTCATTATTTATTGACAAACTTTATAAATCACTTATTTTTAGGTCTTTCTCAGTAACTAATTAATTATTAGCTATTTAAGTGTGATAGGCCTATTTTCGGGGCGATACAAAACTTCCTTTGGTGAGCTTCCACTTTCCTTCACCAAAGTAATTCATGTGACTAGCATCATCTAGTTTTCTAGCGGAAATAAGATCGAGGCGCATAACCAGGACATTTTTCATGTCTTTTAGTACTAAGTTGCATCGAGTACATGCATCCAAGATGATGTATCCTTTTCTGATGATGTTGCTCCTATCTTGGCTTCACATTTGCACCGTATATGGGGAGGTTTGTTGAGGTGCAAACCCATCCCACATCAAAAGTGGAGAACAAGAATGACCTAAATAAATATGGTTACCTAACAACATTAGTATGATGCCTTTTAGGATGTGCTCAAAAATAAATCCATGAGGACTTGGACCAAAGTGAACAATATCATACTAATATGGGATTGGTGTGAGGGTATGTGCAATCCCAACATGTGGTATCAGAACCTATGTTTGTGTGGGCAGAAGTGGCAGGCTTGCTAACAGCAAAAGGTCGGGTGGCATGTCTTGTAAGTGTGTAGCGGCGGTGCAAGATGGTATGTAGATCAAAAAAAGGTAATCCTGAAGGAGAAGTCACGAAATTATGTGGTCTGGTTTGAGGGGAGGCTTGTAGAGGAGCAAACTCCACACCATACTGGAATTGGAGAACAAGAATGACCTAAATAAATATAGTTACCCAACCTCATTAGTATGAGACCTTTTGGGATGTGCATGTCTAAAAACAAATTTGTGGGGACTTGGCCCAAAGCGGACAATATCATACTAATGTAGGATTGAGGTGAGGTTAGGTGCAGTGCCAACATAGATTTTGTCTAATTATCACCAGCATCCAGCTCTAATTCACTCTACCTTTAGTCCTACGTACTTAAGTCCACAACCGCAACGCTCTTGCATCTCATTGTTTAGGCTCGTGACCTCATGCATGTATGCCTCTTCTTGAAGTACCTATAGCCCCATACCACCACATCATTAGTTCACACCTTAGCATCTTCTCCTCCCAAAGTATAGTGCACCCTAACTCGTTTCCTAATAATATTTCTTATTAGTTTGTTTTGTGATGGCGACCTTTTTATCCATACTAGTATTTGAACCCGTGCGTGCCACGCACGGGGTCGAACAAAATTTTTTTTCGATTCTAAATAAAATTTAATGTAATATTTTTTCAAGATTAAAGAAAATATACTTCTCGTATGATTTCTAATATCATAGAAAAGAACCAAAGTGGAAAATATAATATTTGAGGGATTGATTGTGTACAACATACAAAAAAAATTAATACCAAATTTTCTAAAAGACTTCACGGTATACAAAAGATATGTTCATTGTTCTTATTATTATTTTAAAAAAATAAAAACTAAATTTAAAATTTTACCATTTTCTTTTTGTTAAGGAAAAGAATTTGAGTATCATTTCTTTTTTTAAATAAATTTCAACCACATGTTTATTTAAATTTTTTCATTAATTTATTTAGTTATGTTTTTAATTTTTGGAAAATCAAATTATTATTCGGTATTTTGCGTTTTTAATATAAATAAGGTATGTGTTATACTAAAAAATGCATTATTTTTCCATTCATATTTTTGTTGCATTTTAATATACATAGAATACATTTCTATTTTCAAAAAGATTTTTAAATATCAAGTTTATATTATTCAATTTTATTTTTAAAGAAAATAGTGTTTGGGTATGATATATTTTTTGGTTTCAAATAAACATCAGAGTATTTTTTTACATGAATATTATGGTCATTTATTTTTTGGTGAATTCAAGTTGTTAGTAGGTTTTTCAATAGTGTAGAAGTATTTGAAAAATAATGTTAACCTCAAAGATGTTAAAATTTGAGGTGTGCATGAATACTTTTTATCATTTGTTATCTTTTTAATAAAAATAAGCCATGTGCTATGTACTAAACATTACATTGGGGATCAGATATAATTTTTTTGCCTTTTAACCTTCGTGGTATAAACACGTATATGAAAATTATTTAAATCATTTTATCAATTAATATCTTAAAGGTCATCAATTTAATCGGAATCAATTTCTCATTCTGTATATAACATTCTTTAAATTTTACTCAGTTATTATGTGGTGTTGACATGTTAAAGTTTTGCCAAATAAACATGTCAAATGTCGAATTGCTGTGAATCAGAGTCTCCTTTATTATAGTAAAGGATTATTTAATATAAATATTTTCCAATAATGAAATAAAATATAAAAGTTTTTAAACGCAATTATGCTGAGAAATCTGTGTTTAACAAATACGAAATTAGATTTCCATAAAAACAGTGTTTTTGTTAACTAATTCTTTAAATATTACGTGCTGACGTGGCATGCTGACATTTTAAAAAAGTTGTCTAATAAGCGTGCCACATGTCACAATCTTAGAAGCCCAACTCTCAAATTTTATACGGAGTATATAAAGATTTACTTTAGTCCTACTAATCTATCCCTTCTTGAAATAAATTTGTTTGTTTTGATTTTTTAATATGAGTTCCTTGTTTAAATACTCCATATCAAAACATATTATTTAATTTAAATATTTTCAAATAATGAAATAAAATATAAAAGTTTTGAAAAGCGATTGTGCTGAGAAATCTGTGTTTAACAAATACGAAATTAAATTTTCATAAAAACAGTGTTTTTGTTAACTAATTCTTTAAATATTACATGCTGACATGGCATGCTGACATGTCAAAAAAGTTATCTAGTAAGCGTGCCACAAGTCACAATCCGAGAAGCCCAGCTCTCAAATTTTATATATAAAGATAAAGATTTACTTTAGTCCTACTTACTAATCTATCCCTTCTTGGAATAAATTTGTTTGTTTTGATTTTTTTAATATGAGTTCCTTGTTTAAATACTCCGTATCAAAATATATTATTAAATTTTAATATTTTCTAATAATGAAGTAGAATATAAAAAATTTTAAACGCGATTATGCTGAGAAATCTGTGTTTAACAAATACGAAATTCAATTTCCATTAAATAAGTGTTTTTGTTAACTAATTCTTTAAATATTACTTGCTAACATGGCATGCTGACATGTCAAAAAAGTTGGCTAGTACGCGTTCTACATGTCACAATCCTAGGAGCCCAACTCTCAAATTTTATATATAAAGATTTCATAGCAATGATTTTAAATTCGGGCAGATGTCGAACTAGCGAAGAGGTTGGTTCTCGATTTTTTCTTGGTTTTTTGGGTTAATCTAGATTTTTCCGAGTTTTAGGGGATTGGAGCGATTATTACATATCCAGGTTGTGGTTCTACCAATACGTTCGACCACCGGTCCCATCCGAGTTTAATAAGACTGATCCATATATTGG